ATGACGAAATGGTCCGCACATTGATTTGTCAAACGCGGGTTTATTCCGGTAGTAAATAACCACGAAAGTCGAGAAACCACGCAATACGGTTTATTTTGGTTACCATGAAGCGAACACACAATCGAGATTTTGAAGAAGTGGAAAGCCTCTAAACCTAGAAAGACCTCTGGTAAAGGTTAACTCAAATTCTATACATTGGGGAAAACGTTTAGGAGAGCTACCTACCAATCCATAAGTTCCTCACAAAACGCCGTGGTTTTAAAAAAATTCTTAGGCAAATCTCTCTTTTTTCATTCGTCTCTAAACCTAAATTTCCTGCACGTTGATATCTGGAACAAGCACTGCTCACGGCCGACATGGGAGTATTTTGTAAGATACAGCTTTCATGACTAACATACCAACAATTCTCCTGTTATCTATGGATTTTTAAGCTTATGATTTCGCATAAGGATGTCAGATTCATCCACGTGGATCGATTTCGAAATGAGGCAGACTTTGACAACTGATCGATTGCATAACGCTCAGGGTTTTTTTGGAGTACTTATTTGCTGCTGTACTCAAAAAGCGTTCATTAAATGCCGACAGAGGCGAAGAACCGAAGTCGGAAACTGCTAAGATCACGACGGATTATCGCAGTCTGATGGGTGACCCCATCGGCCCGACTTCCACATAGCAGACTACTTAAAGATCGTCGTAAATATCCTGATCGAATCGCATGGAAACGGCGTTTACTAGGGGGGGGGGGGAGGAGGATCTTTTCTTACAGGCTCAGTTAACCCAGAGTCACGGAGAAGTAATCAGTAGTTGAGAACCCCGTTTGGCAGATGTGCCATTCTTATGTCCTGTATCCAGCGCCTGAAAGAAAAATACGGCGTTCTGCTTGTGAATGCAGTTGTGTTTGTCAAAATATTGTCGGGCTACTGAAAACCTCCCGGACAAGTAGGTCGGCGCACTTGTTAGTTGGTTTTATCCATGTTTTGTACTGCGGTGTTCCCGGACTTGTTTCGGCGTCCTTCGTATGTTCTTAGTTTGAAGTCTTACTCCACTGTCGAAAATACTTTGCTCCTTCATTTCGTTTGATTTTTAGCAGATCGTAATCCTCACATCATTAAATTCTGTCATCTTTCGTTTTATGTGAGTTTCACCTGAGTTTATTACTGTGCATTCGGAATGACGAAGGTTCACCCTCCGAACACATAAGACTTACTTTAACCTGCATTACACTGGAATGGGTCAACTCAAGCTTCTAGCTCGAGTCATTGACATTTTGTCCAATCCACTTTAAGAGCAATTGAATCCTTACTGCAAATACGGATTTTGGTTCCTAGATTCGCAAACCTGTCCCGTGCTTATTTGACGCACCTCACCAAGATTACTAAGCAACCTGCCATCCGCTTAACATTCAAAATACCTTTCTGTTGTCCTACTGTACCTGTTTGGAGATATTCGTGTGGCTAACCATAAGGAAACTCTTCGCATTTTTGACGGATCAAGCAGTAGATGTCGTTTCTATTTGCTAGTGCGCAAAAGTTAGGCCTTTCTATATACCTTCCAATGCTAATTTTCAGCACTTTATCGATCAGGCTGTTTGACTTTTGATCTAGTTTTAAGTCAGTAATATAGTACAAATCCAAAACACCCGTGGACACTTGTGAAAGTTGATGAGTTCTATGGGTTTGGAATTATGTGCGTGTGTGACCCCAATTTTCCTAACGGACTTAAATTTATCGACCAAATTCCTTTTACTAGTCGACAAATCTTTAAATGCGAGTTGTTTTTCTGTAGGTTTGACATTTTGTCACCGTTCTGAGTCGCACCAATTAGTACACAGTGATAGTTCTCACATTAAATTGTGAAATAGCCTTGAATATAGACCAAACTATTGAAAGGTGATGGAACCCTTGCACCCAAAATGGTACAAGCATAGTGGCCGAGGTATGGACCTGTCCGTCATGCTAATGCGATTATATAATTTGCACCAGTGTTCAAATCCTTTAGTATCCCCTGGTGTCCTTGTTGCAAAAAATTGTTGAGTCCTTCTATGAACAAATCAGGTTAGTATATAATCCTTGATGACATACGCGGCTTCTGTCACTGATTTCCGGTCACGTCTGATTTGTACTTTTGTAAACTTTTACCAATTGGGGAAAAGTGCCCAGGCCATGTCACATAGGTCGGTTGAAAATCCAAGCCACCGTGTTACCACAACCATCTGTTCCTTCCAAATAAACCTAACAAGCCAAAACGGTCTCGTTCTCCTGGGAAGCTGTGGGATAATGCGAAGTTGCTGCACTATTTCTTCTAAGATTCAAGTAGAACATAAGGCTGACGGAAACTCAGGGACTGCGCCTACCTGATGAGCCGCAAGTAGGAAAAAACCGGTCGTGGGCTGTCGACTAATTTTCAGCAACCTAATGAGTAGTGCATTACGAATATACGTGTATCGCGATATCTCGAATATCATAGCGACTGAAACTTTAGGCTGCCTGGTGCAGTACATTCAGTTGCCTGGAAACCTCACAAACGAGGGATTCAGCTGGGTTCCAGGTGAGTCTCTCGCAAAACCAAATTAGTTTGCAAATGAGTGTATTTCGCTAAGATTCAATACCATTTTTTGCGTGCATATGAGATTTTGAAGACTGAATCTAAGTTCTCGTTCTGCAAGTGACATTGATTAGGTGCTGGAAGCCGAAAGATAGTTTGAGTTTTCATTGGTACTCCAATCGATCATCATTGCGCGTCTGTCTGAAGTGGCTCGAAACTTTGACTGGTCAATTACTATACCATGTGGCTCTGATCAGTATAAGGAACTTGTACCTGGGTGGGATACAAAACCACCGTTCGAATTTGGTGTAGTGCCACAACTGCTCGTTGCAAGTGGCCCCGAACGGTATGCTTTGATGACCACTAAGTTCACTGACCACCGGCGATGACACAAATGGACGAGCAGTGAATACCTTTGGCATTCTGTTCGGACAACACGTTCCATCGACATTTTCTCACAAACACCACTGAATAGTGGACCGGTATCCTGTCGCTGTTTGCAGCACTTATGTATGCAAAATATTAGACTCATTTTTGTATGCATCTTGCAATAACCTCGTGAAACACATGAAGTACATCTTGGTTCTGGTGGACTTTGTTGTAAGTTCCACTGCGCAGATGCTCTAGTAAAAGCTTTCCGGGATAATGAAATTGTTCTAAGTGTCTGGCTACTTACTATTTGCTCGTCGCCATTTGAAACGACATGCAGCATTTATTTTCAAGTCCTTTCCTGTCACCCAGTTGTCCAGTTTCCTGCCAGCTAGTGATCCGAACGTTTCTCTGTTCATAAGGTCCGTTTTTGGCAACTGAACCTATGAACTTTGCTGTTGGATGTGTTCGTACAGAAAGCTTTACGATTCGTGAGATTGGAGATGAACAGTACGCTAATTGTGTGATGGGTGAGCGACCGCCGGAGGAGTGAATATACGTGAACTGCCACCTGTTCGCTTAGTACCTAAGCATCCTTCAGACGTTTAGACTAATAGTCCCAGCTAACGAGTAGACTGTGTAAGGGTACAAAGGAGAATTAACAACCCATTGAATATTGAGCACTAACTTGGCATTCACTATAAGTTTTCGTGCCCAGATGCACGGTATAATAGATCTCGATGAAACAAATCAAATGGTTCCTAGGTGCTCGACAGTGCCTCTATGGGGATCTAAAATCCGTTTGGTGAAATGGTTAGGATCCTCACTCAGTAGTCTGAAGTGTTTTTTGGATATGCTTTGGATTGCTATCTCGACACTTTAAGATCCTATCGTGATATGAAAGATATCGGGATTTCGTGATGCTAAAACGTGCAGGTTCGCACCTATAGCCATGATAGTTCACAAGTAACCTAACATCTCAGCTGCCTGCAAGTCATCAGAGGCACCAATGAGGACAAATATTTAGACCGCATTTAGATGAATTCATCCCAAAAACTAAATCTTTGATGAAAAATGCCTCAAAATAGTTATAACCACACTCCAGATGTACCGTGTATATTTTCTGACAGACATTTGTACATGTTTGTGTCCCACAGAGACGTTAAAGACTAAATTATTCGCCTAGTGAGCCGTCGAGTTTATGGATTAAGGGTACCATGGACTATTGGGAACTTTCGAATGGTGTCTTCTAACATCATCATGGTACGACTGGCGTGAAAGCCTAAGGAACTATAAAAGTTCACATGTTACTCAGTTCAATAGTTGGGTCGACCGGACAATTTTTATGACAGTTTCTGTTTTTCATAGCTCTTAGGCAATTTTTCAGCATATTTAGCGAGGGCCTACTTAGATTCTTACAGTCACTATGATCTCCGAAGATCCTGAGCAAACAGTGCGGGAGAGACCCGTTTTTCGTGTATTCTCAATCACTTGAGCGCTGTATCAGTATCTGAGACATTTTCGATATTTTGAAAGACCTTTTATAGCATTGGGTACTTGAAGCAGTGACATTTCGAACTAAGACCCTAAGTTCAAAGGATCAGTAGGCACTGTGAAGTCGCACTGTTTGGGAACTCACCAATTCACACCAAGCTGGTTTTGGTGGGAGGCTATGCGGAATTTTATTATATATGTAACATATATATGTTACCTGATACATAGATTATATTATATATATATATATGTATTATATCATTCAACCGAATATGTTGTACGAAGGACGTGTTGCGACGGTCTCGTGATTCAGTCGCACGACATTCAAGATACTGTAGTATATTTTCTTGGAGAAAAATGTCAATAAGGTTGCTCCATATTATAAACGAGGGATTCAGCTGAAACAAATGCGCGCATTTCACGAAGATTGCACAGTTTGCGTAGGAGCAGTACATGAAGATAACGGAAGCTGGTCGTCACAAGTGTTTCATCAACCTTATGAATAATTTCCTTCAGGAGTATATCAGAATTTACTTTCCACGTTATTGTTGGACACAAAACGTGAGATGTATTTTGTTCTCCGCTTTTATCAGCTTTGGTGCAGCCAACGGCGTTCTGCGTGTGGATGCTGGTCGCCGATGTTCTAGTGGGGACGGTCGCTTCTTTTTCCGATGCAGTCCACCAAATGGCCAGCCAGTGGATATGCTAGTTACTCAGATCCGTCAGTTGGCGCTTGAGGCCAAACAACGTTTGAGGAGAAACCAGATGGCTGCAAGTAACCTTGAATTAAATGGACAGCAAACATCCGGTCGCGCAGTAGCCCTTACTCCCGACGGAACGATGGAGCGCACATTAGTCTCAAATACGGAAACAGAGTGTGCATCACCATACCCTGGTACGCTGCCACGAGCCAGGTCAAAGAGACAGAAGCAAGTTTCAGAATTGCCCAGCGATCGAGCAACCAGAACAAATGGATTTATGTCGAACGGATCTCCTCCTGTAACGCCCGAATCGGGCAGCGATCCAAGCTCACAATCTCCCGGGGCGACTTCTGCTGCAACGAATTCGGAGGACGGAGAATTGGTACATGCGGTTCTGGCACGAGCGGTGAGTTTGGCTTGATATGGTCATCCGCACATTGTGGTAATTCTTAATGGATATTATTACTGTGTAATTCCCTTTAAAACAACAACTATGAAACGCATACTGCCTGTCGTAATGCGGCTAAAGGGACCGGTGGTAGACGGTCGCTCCAAGGAAGTGAACGCTGTTGAAGATGTTGCCTCTTCTCTCCAAAACAGAATGTCCTTATATAATGTTCACATTCATCGCTTAATTTTAAAGAAACTTAAAGGTCTATTTTGATATCATTCTGCTAACAGAAACCTAAGATGCCTTTTACACAATATAATTTTATGGGGTCGACTAAGAATGACCATTGCAGGGAGGTGCTATCTGCAGAGAGGTGCTGTCTCCAAAGACGCATGATATTTGAGAGTTTAGCTGTAAAGCTCCTAAAAAGAAACTTGGAGTGTCAACATTTGACGGATCTGCAAAAGAGTCAGCTTATCGGCGTCCGTTTTCTGTGGCCTACCTCCATATGGGTAGACCAAAAACGCTGGATTGTGCTGCATTTTTTGTAAATGGACACGTGCGCAAACAAAGGCGCGCCCGTTTTGTCGATGAACGACTGACTCATTGGTGGCCAAAGAAACCGGTTCTATCGATCACCCCACAGCTCCAGTGTGTATCACATTTCAGTCGAATGCACCATGGAGAATTACGCCCCTAACCCATGTCCGAGTAACCGCTTCTTTTGTTGCGGATTCAAGGCTGTGAAACAACCAATGAGGCGTGAGTCAAGTGTGTGTGTGCATCTCTGGGACTGCCACTAACAAAGAAAGCCTAACAATTTCGTCCTTTTACCACTTGATTAGCTAAATCTCACATGGAACCTTAAGTAAAACGTTTTTATGTGTCCTCTGGTCAATTTCGAAGAGTGTCTTGGTACAGCAGTGTAAGGTATTTGTGAGCTACTAATCTGCTGTAGGTCATTTTGCGCATTAGATCTTTGTTGTGGAGCGTGAGTGCTTCAGATGGACTCTTGCTGACACTTACTCAAGAACATTCACAACAACTCAATCATCAAGGGTTAGTAGATTGATATTATGAAATTTCATGTATGAGCTTACAGTGGGGCTACAGTTGGAGGTTTTCATGGACATCATGATGTGTTCCGAACATATTTATGATTTTTTGACATCCGAATTTATGGTGTACAACTGAATAAAGGTAAGACGAACTGAATAAAATGTTGATAGAACATCCGAAGGCTTCGATCGTTTTACCAGCAAACACGGGTTCTAAGTGAGAATATTCTTAACCCAGCACTAATAAAGCCCCATGTAACAGACAAAGGTAAAACGTAGATACTGCAGAACTGTAGTTGTATTCTAAACAATATGCGTTGGTATGGCGCTGGTTAAAAACATAACAAGAATCATAAAGTCCACATAGTTCACAGAAACGGTACTGAGCCGAGCTATTGAGAGTTTGATTAGCATCTAAGGTACAAGAAGAGCCCCCTCTCCTTAGCCTGCCGCCACCATCTTCAATACAGTTTGGTAAACTTATTCCAGGGCTGTTCTTTGCTCTTTGCTTTTTAATGCGACGAAGCTTCAGAAAATACAGGTTTGTTTAGGAATGGTTGATGGGTTTTCTGTAAATATCTGCCCAAACAAGACAGGCTGAAACACAATTCAATGAACAAGTGTCTCGAAGTCCACTCAGTACTCTGAAATAAATGCAGGATATTCAAAACCGAGTATCACAATCGCTACGGTTGCTTGAAACATGAGCGCACCCAACTCTCTGTTCTTTCAATACAGTCAACCGCCAATTACCTTGTCGCACATACTTAATGGAAAGCCGTTGAAGACGTGTTGTCAAATGTTGAAACGGAGTTACTTTGAATAGTATTAATAGTATTCAATATACCTTGTGCTTCTGATGCAGCTTGAGTTTATACTCTTAACTCAGCAGACAGTAATATTAAAATATTACTTCTAACCTCTTATTTTGCAAGTCTACCGGAAGATCCACATATCAATCAGATAAATCAGGCACGTACAAATTGTACACAAGAGTAAAATAACTGCTGCCTGACTTTTATTCACCGGCATTAGTGGATGGGTGAATAGACAGTCACGTTTAAAGCAAAGCTTATGCCACTTTAGTGCACACGATGCTAGCAAAAGCCATCACATTGGAGAATTAAGTCTCTATATTCTGCCTAGATTGGATAATAAACTGTTACAAGTTTAGGATATTCGGTATGCTCAAATGATACCGTTGACTACATGACAGGTTCACTTGCTTAAATGGCCCTGACCTGGAATTCACATGCATACGATTTAACAAGAATGATCCGGCTTGGTTTTGGGGACCGCTTCCCATTTAATGGTTAGCTGAATTTGGTAGTTTTCAGTTGTCACCTGAACGTATCACAGAAGCTCTGCACGTAAGAAGTTTCAGAGGAATAGATCCCAACTGATTTTTCATGGACTGATAGACTAGCGGGATCTGTTTCACTGAATATTAGGCTAAGTTAATGGTGCATGATGTGAGGATAAAGTGACTAACAACATTCGGCCCTTATTTACGATGGTGTAATGATTAAATAACCAAACTGGACGGATTCTATCGTTTATAATAATTTTTAAGTGAATAAGCAGGATATAGGCCTCCTCGGGTTTCAGTTGAAATAACATCCAATTTTCGGGAGTATTTTCCTCTACACGAAGCTACTTATAAGGTTGGTTTAAACTCCTGGACATTTCGCTGACAGTTTCATTTGTAGGGCATGCTTGTTTTTCGAATTTAAACCAGAAATCTTTACTTTTATAGGGTTTAGTGTAATATAATCGAAGAAATAACTATCAGCTGTCGCAGTTTGACAGACATCATACGCCAGACCTATCGGAAACGACAATGTTGAATTTTATCATGTGTTTCGATTGTGTTAAGTAACAGCCTTTCCGCTTAAGCTGGTGCCCAATTGAGCCAACTCGCTTTAACAGACGGACATTCTTTGACAGCTCAAGAATAAGCGAGTTCATCAATCCTTGAATTTTTTCCAGCTATTCATTGACACAACAGTTGCATTCGGAGGTGATGGGGTTGAACTACAGGTTGATCCGAATTAAAATACAACTAAAAGTGATTTGCCTTCCGATAAATTGACGGGTAGAATTACTAGAAATTGAATTTTCTTTTCAGATCAGTCAGGGAGGACAAAGTACAATGCGAAATGTTGTGTTCCCCGAATCTAAGTATTTAAGAGGCGTTCTTTCAAATCCTTTTAACTGTAATGACTACTCAGCGCCTTTATTCCCTCGAATTGAAGGGCCTTATTTTATCATTATCAGGAAACAGCATTGTTTCAGATGTTTCCTTAAACTATATGCGCTTGTATGTATAACGTTTTTGCCGAAAGAAACTTCTTTCCCGGAGAATTTAGTCGTAAATTCGTTCTATTCCTTTAGTGCTAGGGTACACCGTACACAGTAGTAAAAGGTTTCTGCTGTTCTGCAGTGGGGTCTTTTAGAACAGAAACGAGTGAACTTTGTTGCCTAAAACATTTTCTGGACAATTTATGTCCGAACATAACGGGAGTTTATTAGACCAATTTGTTATACATGAACTTAGTGGAAGCTCCGTTCCACTGTCTAATTGGACCACGCAGAAGTCAGACAACCCAGTGCAGAGGAATTCTTAAGGAAAACGACAGACAGAGTATTTTCTCAACAGGACGTTAACGACTTCGTTCAAGTTTAAAGATTCAGACCTACAACTTTTGCGGAAACGACAGGAGTAATAAAACTTGTACATAAAACGATAGATCAATAGTGGGTGGAGACACCCTTTTGGGTTTTCCTTTTAGTACACCCAATAACTAGTGTGCACTTGATTTCACATTTCTCCTGAAGGATTGTTCATTCTAAAAGCATAAGGCGTGGGACTAACTGTTTGATAGCAAAGCAGTTTACGGATTAAGTTGCAGTAATCGGCTGGAATTGCCTGTAACATCAAGCCGATCACAGTCAGCCTCTCATATGAGGTCGTCTTCTGAGGTATAGTAATGACGGGAGAACCTTGAATATAGTTTTCTAGAAATAGCTCCTGAAATATGTCGCACTATGGTAAGACGATACTCTACACCTAAGATACAATATAGCAGCAGGCATCACAACTCAAAAACGCAGCTACTGAGCATGGTGTCGTGAGTGACGTTAGAATATTGATTCCATGCTAGTGTCGTGTGAAGGTTTTTTTCCAGTAGAGTTTTAGCAGTGTTGAATAGTCCAGCACGTTGATTTCACTGGACCAGTTTTATACAGTAAACACAACCAAAAAAAGAACGAATGTGAGCGAATAATCTTTGGGGTGGGAAATAATGTCCAATTGTTTTGCTCTCGAGAAGTATCAATAACAGTCAATATGATTTAACTAGTGTCATTTTTTAGCCTGTAGCATGAATAGTGCCGAAGATTTTATGGATGAGAGAAGTTCTTCTGTCGTTGGCTGTTTGATATTGCTATAACACGTGCATAAAACATTATTTCTTACTGAACATCATGTCTCACATCCACAGAGATGAAACTTACTTCCGTTCTTTTTGGTCGCCTATCCTCACTGAAGGAGAGTACCGCTAAAGCATAATTTGAGACCACTATACGGGTTAGTCAAGAAATTTATTTATCAAGAAGCTAACTGGTTGGACAAATACAGCAAACTAGGATTGACGCTGTTGACTCGAGTTATTAAGGAATATGAGGGTGAGGTAGGTGACGTCTTGGCAAACTATGATATTTTCCTGGTATTAAATGCCCCTTCTGGTTCATCCCGTTCAACCAGCTTCTTGGCGAGTATACGAGAGGAAGTGTTACTTGAAAACTGAATTTTGTCTCGAAGGTCAGATTATAATGTAGTGTATAACTGATGTACAGCTACGATTTTGGAAACTTTAGCTAGTGTCCCTTTTGGGCAACTTTGAGGAATTTCGAATTTGTCACATTCTGGACAGGAACATGAAGACATTATAAGTCGTACACGATGGGCGATGCATAATACCATCTGTTTGTTGCAAGTGAGTCGATTCTACAAATCATAATCGAGCGTTCAGTTGCAAGTGATCGGGTGGCATTCCAACATCAATGAACTTATTCTTGATGAAATCTTTGTCCTAGGAAATCTCACTTTTTAGGCCGTTGTGTGAGATGTCAGTCACCAATATCTGATTATTGAACAACATGGTAGATGGAAGTACCCTGTCTCGGTTGAAACTTATCGTAGCATAACTACATCGAGAATTGGACGGTCTCTTACTTACATGAATTATTTTAAGTAGAGAGTATGTGTTACGAATGCACCATTTTGAGCGGCACCGATTGTTTTAGGCAGTGGTTGCCGACGGAAAGCGCAATGCACACATCGAATCGTCACTGTTTTCGGAACGTGTTTGTCCGTAATTGAATGTCTTTCGTGATCGCTTCATTCCCTTATGAAGATGGTGATCAGGCGAACACGGAGCTTTGATTAACGAGGTAAACCTAGCCTACATATTAGTGCGAACTACCTCTAATACGCAGAAATGTTTATCGGGTTCCGCACCGGTACCTGATTTCCACTAATCTCCCTTCTCTATCTTCCGCGTTTGCAGCCGAAACAATCTCAAAATCAAGCCGAAAATACAAGTTTTTATGACAATATCCCGCGTCCGCCACGGAAAGGAACAAATTTACCTGGGGCAGTGAACGTGCTGCCCTTGCCAGCTCGTGCTCGGCCGAATAACCAAGCGACGACCAGAGAACCAAACGGTGAATCACACTTGCTTCAACCCGAACCGAAGCCCAGAACGCCCGTGGATCATGGATTAGCTGAAAGTACCTTTCCGACTCTCAGACCCTCGCCGGTGCCGCCACCACATAATGGACATTTGTCAAAAGAAATGACTGATGATCTACCATGCGCACCACCTCCACCACCACCGCCACATGCAAATGAAGTGGAGAAGAAATCTGCTGGGCTGACGAGGACGCGAACATCCAGTGCGTGCTTTCCGGGACAGGAAGAGGCGACCTGTTTATCATCACCGCCACAGCCAATTCATCCGATACCACCTCCCATACCCACCCTGGCTGCTGCTATATCGACCTCGACCAATCCCGTGGCTACAAATACCGTTTCACAAACACCAAGCGTTGGGTCTGCAGCGGTTATGCGGGTGCCGCCATTTACCGCACCAAAACCGATTACAAGCCAAAACTCGGGTGCAACGAAGTTACCAGCCTGCAGCCCAAGCTCACCCCAAGGTAGATGGTGATTTTTCTTACCTTTTCCAAACACACATTCTGAGGGTATTTGGATAAGCTAGATCTGTCAAGCATCATGGTTTGACTAGATTCAGGTTGAGAATACCTTTACTAGTTTGTTGGTTCGATCATGTGCTGACACGATCAAAATCGATGTAATCTGTTCCGCCCTACACCAACGTCTTCTGGAAGTTCAAGTCAACGGTCAGAATCGTATGGTAGAATTATATTGAAAGATGCTAAATCCGTCGGATATTAAGTGGTCCAGCAATTGGTTGCATAGAATAAAAATTGTGTGACATGGTTTTTTTCAGGATTATAAGTTTTTGCCTAATCTGATCGTTACAAATTTGCAGACAGCAGTATCATTCCTTATTGAAATTCGAGGCGATAAAAGAGTGAGTTTCACGTCTCGGAGACTGTCCTCTTCCGTTCTCAGTTCGTTTCCATAACTCAATCAGCACACTGAAGAAAGAACGCCTTCTTTGCGGAGTTATTTATTAGAAAATGCCAACTGACCTGTTACAGACTTTTGGACAGGGAAGCAAAACTCTCATTTGCATCCATCTTCTCCTGAAGGCGTCTTCTGAAACTTTCCTGGATATTCACTAACTCCAATCATTCATTGCTCAAATCCAAGAAAATGTTACAAAGCGGCTGCAAAAATTCCGCAACAGATTTCTCCTTTTCAAAAGACGCAAAGCGAAATTCCACGAACAACACATACTACTTGCATGCCTCCCCATCAGTGGTATCGGAGTTACCTTGATATTTGCTCCAGTATAATAACATAGAGAGCTGGTCAACGTAGGCTCAGTCCCAATTCCACATTCAAACAAACTGCAGTGCTGCAAAAACCAGTGACGAATATTTTTCTTATCCGCTGTGAAGGTTCGTTTGTTTTCGTTCAGCCATCTGGATGACTGAATGAATTCCGTCAATCTGTCAAACCAGTCAAGATATCCCAGCTACACTATTTTGCAGGTGACATTGGGTGTGGGAACTTCAAGTTGTTCTTCAAACTGATGATGATCTAGCCAGATCTCTACCTGTCATTCTGGTTTCGGAACGTACGTGTCCTCGACAAAGGATTTAATAGTACGAGGCAGGTGAAAACTGTTGGAAATCAGAAGGGTTAGTAGCGTTCCTTCGAGATTAATGCCAGATTAAGTCGGTTTGATCGAGTGCCCTAACGTAGTCATTTTATAGCTGTTTGCATACTTACGCACGGTAAAAATGAGCCGGGCGACGAAGCGTTTCGTTGTGTAAGTGTGTGTGTGTGTAACGTATGAAGTCCAGCATTTTCTTGTTTGGTATTTTTCTCCATGTTTCGGATATTAAGTCTGACCTTCAGATCTGGCACAGGACTACGTTGCACTTGTCTCAAAACGCTGGCTTCTCTAGTTTGCAACTTGAGGGCAGAAGTTGCACAATGCGATAATTGATTTAGCCTCACTCCCTACCCCAAGTACTGCACATTTGAAGATATTGAAGCCAGGTTCTCGTTCATCACAGATGACAGGTTATCTATGGCGAAGAAATGTTAGGTAGGATATCCCTAGGGCGCACAATATATCGTATGTTTTTGAGTACCTTTTAATTTTTCGTTAATGCTGTCAATGGCATCTGCTGTGTGAATAATCGCCGTCTTCTCCAGACTTACTTAATGCCCGTACATTTTCACAACTGATTCGGTTAATTTACATGTCTCACTTGCCCTGTCTGAAAGGATATTATTGATGTGGTAGTGGTCTTTTCTGCAAGCTGAGTCCTTCCAGACGGATCATCCATGCCTAATCTCTCCTAAGAACAACTGTATCCAACTGAGGACGACTCAATCTATATTGTCCGTGCTCTGTAAAAGATTTTTCCACTATATGGGGACAGATGGCGACTACTGCTCAGAGCTGCCAAGCACGTTCGAGACAACAATGCCTGTTGGACTTTCTCCTCTGTATTGCATCAACCTACCATTCGGGTCAATCCTTGTTCTATGGGACTAGATACACGGTGGTGGATTTCCGAACGCCGCAGTTTGTTTGACATACGTGTAGTTTCTGTTGTCTGTGTTTGATGACAACAGCCAAAAGTTTATGTTAATTTTTGTTGCCAAAGGCTCATTGAGGTTTACAACGTGTGTTTTGATGTGAGAATGATTGTTGGTTCAGAAATCTACTTACTCACAAACAGTGGAGGCAATATCTGTACTTGGTGCCAAAGTTGCGAACTATCGATTGGTCCAGGTTAGATATTGATCTAGTATAATCGGATGACCGTGCATGTGAATATGATGGTGCAAATATAAAGCACACTATTCAACCTTTTTAAGGGAGTCAAACCAATGCTAATGAGTTTTTCATGAGCTGACTGCATTCTTTAGTTCAGCTAACAATGCAGTTAGGCACGCGAAACGGTAACCTAACAGGTGGACTCTGTGCCCGTAGAATACACTAGCTATCAAACATTTTTGACTTAATTTCAGTAGTGTCAGTGACTAGGCTTGTGTACAATTGCACACAAAGATAACAATAAATGCGGGCTTGACAAAGTAAATGTTCGGTTCAGTTTGTGTTATTCCGGTGCTCATAATCCGAGTTGATGGATTGCTGCGATTTACTGAGTTATTCCAATGCCTGAACAGCCCCGCACCCCGTGCATCAAAATCATCTGCCCATCGGATCCTTATGCACACTCTCCCTCCTAAAATCATAAAATGCGGAAAGGGATTCATGTGTACGGGTGAAGTAGTGTTACTTGAAGGTACACACACTCGGCTTCGAAGTAGTTCCTTTGATTTCTAATGAACAGATACTCGGTCATCTGACTGATACCCTCGTTTGCGTTAACTTTGGAGGGTGAAGGATGTTGGTAGCCCATATTCAGCAGCCCCGTATGGTCTTGTTTGCTCTCATCTCATACCCCATAGACACTGCATGTGTTAGATATTAACGGCTTTCTTATTCAAGCGTAAGTTTTTAAATGGTTCACGGCAAACAGGTCATAGCAGAAACCAACAAACCTCTTGCGGAGCTTTGAGTCCCACATCCAGGGTAGTATTTAGAGTATCTTGTGTGAACCAAGCTAGAACAACTGTTTGGTCCAGCGAGTAGTTGGCTCACAATCAAACATTCTTATATGTTCCCGTCATTTAAGCGCTGGATTATTCAGTAAGTGAATGGCGAGCTAGCAAGTCAAAAGATAACTTCCAGCTAATGCTTTCATGTTTTATACATTCGGGTGTGTAACTTGAATTTCATAGAAACGAATCTTTACTGTTTACTTTTTCCCAAGAGCTAAAGAGCTCCCCTTTTACTGAGTCCCTACTGCTCTCCGTTCACTT